GGGATGCTGGGTAAGGGAGGTGTGATGGGGGACTTGGCCATGGCTTCCTCTGTGGTCAGTGACTATGTAATAACTCTTCCCCCTTGTCCTATGGGTGTCAAGAGCTCTCCTAGGTTCCTAATCAGTAGGCTTGGGGCAGGCCTGAGAACCTGTTTCTGTCACCAGTGAGTCTAATGTAGCTGAGTAGTTAGAGCCCCTCCTTCTGTAGGGAAGTCTGAGGCTCAGAGAGGGGTAGCACCTTCTCTGAGGTCACACAGTAAGCCAGCTTCCAAGACCAGCCTAGAACTGGGAGCTCTTGACATCCCATCCAGGGTGCTCCTGCTCTGCCAGGTCCCCTCACTGCCGGGGGTGCCCCTCCCTGGGTGGGCCCTGCTGGATTTCTTGAAGAAACACCCCCACTTCTCCGGCATCTGGTCCCCAGGGTTGTCTATGAGCGTGCCTCCTGGCTCTGTGCAAAAATAAACACACTCGCAGCTTGCTGTGAAAGGGCATGTGTTTGTGTGTGCGCTGGGTCGGGGGCGGTTTAAGGCAGGGCACCTGGCGTCCCTTTGTCAGCAGGAGACCAAAAAGGCGGGGCCATGGAGGAGAAACGGGGGTTGGGCCAGCAGTGCCCGAAGCAAGGGGTGCTCAGAGTTGGGGAAATAGGCCCCTCACCCTTGGCCCTTTCCTCTGTCTGCTGTGACCTCCTCCACCACCCCCATCAGATCATAATCACAGTGGCCACATGGCAGCAATAACAGTAGAGGGCAGTCGCGGAGCGCTCGCCCTCTCAAACCCCTGGTGCTGCCACCGCCCACGAATGGGAGAATTCAGGTCCATATAGATCAGCGGTTCTCAACCTGTGGGTCGCGACCCCTTTGGGGGTCGAACGACCCTTTCACAAGGGTCGCCTAAGACCATTGGAAAACACATATATAATTACATATTGTTTTTGTGACTAATCACTATGCTTTACTTATGTTCAATCTGTAACAATGAAATTGGGGGTCACCACAACATGAGGAACTGTATTAAAGGGTCGCGGCACTAGGAAGGTTGAGAACCACTGATATAGATCATCATGCTGAACGAGTGCTCCTAGCCACAGCCACTTAAAGTGCGGCCCGGGCTCAGCAGCACTGACTC